TCCAGCACCCTGTAGCCCTGTTTTCTGTCACTACATGTTGATGCAATCTAACCCAAGGAATGAATATGAGGTAGCTGTGTAGGCCGTGTTTGTAAGTACATATATTTTTACTTCTGTTATTTTTGAAGAACAACAAGGAGTAGACCTGTGGATGCACTGTGAGGGGCTGTGTTCCTGCTATCATTAGTTTCTACTCCCTTGTTCTTTTGACTTTCACCTTTTACAGAGATGTATCTAAACAGGCACTGCTTGTCTCCGGTGCGCCGGCTCTGAGCTTCACAGACGTAATGGCCCTCGTCCCGTAGCTGGATGGAGGCAATGGTGTGGTCAAGGACCCAGCTGTTGGACTCTGCCTGAAAAGAGAGCTGCCCATGGAGCATTTCTGCGTAGAGATGCACGCTCCGGCACTCCAGCTCCTGTGGGAGGGCCTGGGGGTGGAGGCGGTACCACTGCAACCGCTCATACGTGTAGTTATCAGCGCTGCAGCACAGAGACACGCGGTCCTGCTCCTGAGGGCCCTCAGAGGGTAACACACTCACACTAAAGCCTTCAGGGATGGCTATGGATGGAAGACATAAGGGTCAAGACAAAGTATCGGGCATACTTCAAAGTACTGGCATAAATTAATGCAAATGTTGGCTATTTTTATTTCTGTAATTTATATAATGTAAACACAGGCAAATATGGAAAAGATCCTTTCAGACTCTTCCAGTATGGCCCTGTAGCACATGCTTATATTATCAACGATGATTTTAAAACATCAAACTAATGTTTAATATTGACCATGTGAAACTTACTATTTGATATCAAAGCAGGAAAGAGGAAAGTAATGGTAACTTTTACTCAGAAATTCTTGAAGATTAAGCTAATACAGTATAAGGAGTGGATCACGTCAGCAACAACAGTCAGTGGGTTTAACAGCTTACAGTCCTTGAGCTGTACTCACTGGTCACATAGAAGTAGATGAGGCGCTCATCTTGGCCCACTTTGTTCTCAGCTGTGCATTTGTACATGACTGAAACAGTGGCATTTTGAATATGCAGCCTGCTGACAATCTGCAAGGTGAGAGAAATTTGATAAAATACATATAAGTATCTGACAAAAAACAAACATGGCTGCTTGGAACATTCTTGTAATCCACAGTGAGTTGGCTTGACCCAGATTTTGCTCTGACAGGCTAACAAGAAGCACAGCCACTCAGGTGAGACTGAAAAACACAGGGATGTGTTCAGTTATGTTTCCTCCCCATCTTGAGTTTGATAAATGTACAATAAGTGTTTATAAGCAGGCTGTACAGGAAGTCTGCGGCGGAAGGCTGCTCTAAATATTTCTACTGAAAACAATCTTGACTGACAATGTTATGGCGCTTACGGGCATGATTTGGAATAATCACATAAAAAATACAGAAACAGTTGACCTAAATATTTTGGAATATTTAGTGGGTAATACTGATGTTTTGCACTACAAGAAATATTGTGGATCAAGCTGTTTATATCTTATAAAATGATTGTGTTACATAAACTACCACTAAAACTCATGAAATTAATTTTCAACATGAGACCACTGCTAGTTTAAAACACATTTAAATTCAACATGATTCGTTATGGATATTTAATAAAGAAAAGGTTTTTGGAAAATGTGTCATAAATATAAAAATGAAAAAGAATATTTGATAAACCTTTTGCCTGCCATCAACAACTTCAATAGATGTTTCAATGGCCTCGATCTGATTGCCTGTATTTTGGGGGATAACGTCCTGCCAGTTGTGACAGTTGGTGGTCCTGTCGCTGTGGCCGCTGCTGTCTGTGAGCCCCCTGGAGACACATGGACACATCACTGACATGTAGTACCCCCATTGACATGCACAGCACAAGAGAGACTAGCTGCAGAATTTCACAAGCACTTCAAATCAGACATACTGAGTTTTTATTATACTTTTTTTTCCCAATTCACAAACTAGCTTCTCATTCTTTATTTCATATCCAACCCAGCAGCTCTCATCCAACACCCAAGACAATTATGCTTAGAGTGTTGGGGACTAATGGAAATAACCACAGAGTCAATTTCTATTATGAAGAGCCATAGTGCCAACATCACAGCAGAACTAATGAAACATGAAATAAGATTTTCCTTTTGAGTTTGGTTTTGAAGACTCAGCCTTGCATTAGCAGCAGGTGGGGTCTCGGTCATCTCACAGGCCTTAGAGGATCAAGTTCAAACGTCTGAATAAAGAAAAGCCACATATTCAAAGAACCCTGCTTGGTTCCATCCATAATGACATGTACCTCATAAAAACACTGTGCATGTGGACAGTGTACTGATTTATGTGTCTGTACTCTGTCAGGGATATTTTAATTATTGATAAGTTATGTTTTATTAGAATATTAACAGCACTCATTGAACTAACCTTTGAGCCTTGGAAGTTAGCAGTTGGAAAAGATGTTATGAAATAAATGCATTTTATGAGACAACCATAAACAAACTACTGGGATAAATGTTATAATAAAAATGCAGTCTACATTTTACTTTGCTAAAACAAATATTAATTGTGTTGCCTCAGAGAGACATATTAAATGTTGTCTAAACAAACATAAAAATCGGTTTAGCAGTCTCCTGTCAAACACCATTACCAGGATATTGGTTTTAAATGACAAGCAGCACGACTACTAAAGTAAAGGAGAGGCAGATGTTAAACAGTGTAAAATGATCCCTTAGCAGCTCTTGTCTTCATGTTTTTAAAAAAAAATATATTGTATTTGCTTGCCCTTGGTAGTGCTCCACACAAAATAAAGTAACAAAAACCTTTGAGGTCTATGCAACAGTTTTATTGTATTAACCGCTGTTTCAGGGTGTTATAGGAATAATAACTATTTTTAATGGAGCCTGGCTTGTATTCATTTTCTGTAGTCTCTTCAAAGGTCAACAGCAAAAAAACTAACTTTGGAGAATACGCCTTGGGGAAAGAATAAAAGAGTTAGCTGCACAGTAGATGGATACGAATGAATGAATGAATGAATATGATCACAATGGCGCGGAACATGGGAAAGGAGCACAATTAAACCATTGTGTATAAGCCTTACTAGGGGCCACTATATAACACCATGGTAGTGCATTCTGATGAAAAATTAGTCATCGCCATCCCTAGCAATAACCTCTGTGTGTATATGTGAATGTAATGGAAATGTACTACAAATCCAGTACTCCAGAGGTCTATTTCAGAGCACATAACCCAGGTTGCTGTGTATTTCATAGCAGAATTGCCTACATCCCACCGTCTAGTATTTCCTAGCCTCCACAGCATGATAAGGAATCAATGAAGAAGAAGCCAAGATGTGATTTGAGCACTCATAGATGGTAGCCCAAAAGGAACATTTGCCTACAACCTTCAACTTATATACATATTTTCTGTAATCTGCAAATCTTGACTGTTCTTATCCACTTATTCACAACAGGTAATTTCACACACTGACCTCTTCTCATAATTGTGTTCCCACTTGCTTCATGTGTCTCACAACTCGTGCTCGTGCAACTACTGAAGTCTGGCATCTTCTACAAAACACTGTCCTGATCAATACAGGACTGGCATAAGATGTAATCACTTGAGAATCATTGGGAACTACAGGAGCATGTCAAAAATAATGTGGAAAATCACATGTCTTTTAAGTCTCAAATTAAAAAGTGACTGCATTTAAATTAAAGACACACTAGAATATAATAAAGCATTTCTTTTTTTTGTGTGAAAATTACAATAATTATCCAATTATCTGTTAAATAGAGCCATACGTTTTTAGTTTAGTTTAGTTTAGTTTTAGTTTTTTACTGTGAACCATCTGTTCAGAGCGATATCAAGACCTCAAAACCTTAATAAAGCATTAAGACTTAATAATGATGTTTATTAAGAATGATTCAGGTTTAGCAACTAATTAAGGGGTTGGGTATTAATTAAGTAGTTATTAAGTGTAAGTGCTTCTATCCTTCTTAAAAAACAACAACAATTTGTTGATTATAAATTATGTCTGATGTTCTTCATGCTTTAATAAGGCTAAGTATTGGTGTTACCCAAATAATACTAAAACAATAATTTATATATAACTTCACTTCACAGCTACTAAATCTCAAAACTCCAAAATAAAGAGCCTGTTTGTAGCTTGCCTGTTTTAAATATAATTATGACACAGATACCACGTAACAGACAAAATGCACTGCCCTGAAACAACTCTGGAAATGCCTTCCTCTCACAAATGTTTTATATAAGAACTTGAACCATTAGTGTACAAGTATCCAAGGAAAAAACACATTAAAACAGCTGTGGACATGACTTTAACAACCTTGGCGTACTTGAAATAGCTTTGAGTGAGTGCCCTTACATTGTGCTGGAGCTGTTGAGGACACAGGGGCCCCAGTCTCTCCAGTGCCAGGTCACAGAGGGAGTAGGGAGCCCGAAGGCGGTGCAGGTGAGGACATGACTGCTGCCGCTGGGGTACGGGCTGGACGGCTCTGCCACCTCTTTCTCGTGGATCTGAGGGACAACTGGAAAGAAACATTACTGGTCTCTTTTCAGACTGCAAAATGGTTCATAATGTCCCTCTTTCATATGAAGTCAGGAGCAAGAATACTAGACTGTATTATTGTGCTGAATTTGCTTTTTCTTTTCTATGCACTTTTGTACTTTGCCTTTGCAACACAACAAACAAATACAGATTCTCTTATCATCTGTCATTTTCATATTCCAAAATATAATAAAAATTTTCAATATCCAAAACACTTTATTAGACCCTTAAATCAAAAACAACAGTAACGGTGGTCAGTTACTCTGTTAGGGTTAGGATTACTGGTCACTAAATCTGCAAATTACCAATAGACATTTTTGTCTTCCTTTCCCTCAGTTAAACAGTTACTAACACTAACTAACATTATTACCATAGACTAACGTGGACTAAGGGAGTGTGACGTCACGCATCCAGTCAAACGAAGTTCATGAGGCTAGTATTTATAGGAGCAAATTTGGAGTCGAGTTCCATATTAGGAATAGGAATTTATTTATGGATAAAATAGCAAAATAACACCAAGTTTATGTAGAGCGGGTTAATACAAACATTTTAAGGTTAAAATGACAAGGCTTCCTGTAGCAGTTACAGAGAGAAAGGTGACTTTTTTTTTATGTAAAGCCAATTGGGACCAGAGTCTTTGGAGTCAGAAGCGTACCTGCGGCTTGCGGGTTAGCTATGTCAATTTATATATAAAGTCTATGATTATTACAGTAATATGTCATATACCCTTGAATGAACGATCTGATCACCTTATGACTATGTAAACTAGACATGTAAAAACATGTAACATGTAAACCCACAGCAAGAGTAAGGAAAAGGAAATATTTTGCCATAAAAAGAGACTGAGGAGAAATAGTAGTAGTAGTTCTAGTCAGATATGTCATCTAACAGATACTAAAGGAAGTACTTACCATTGACAACTAGTGTAATATTGAGTCTTTGCTCCAATCCAGCTGCACTGTTCCTCAGCACCACTGTGTAGAGTCCTGCATCCTCTCGACACACATCTCTAATCTCCAACACATGTTTTGGGTGCATCCTTATCCTCTTTATCTTGAACTCAGGGCGCTGGTTTATCAATTTTCCATCTTTATACCTGGACACAAAAATCAGCAAAATAATTGCTGCTCAAGCTTGTGATTAGTGAATGTTCATACGTAGCATTTAACACAAAATCTTACCACTTTGTTTCAGGGGTGGGGTAAGCAGATACGTTCACATTTATCTTTACAGACTTCTGACCAGCAGTTACCTCAACAACAGGACCATTTCTGTAGCCAAGGATGATAAATGGTTTTTCTGCAAAATAAACACTTGGTTAGACAAGACACATGCTTTTAAACTGCTTGTTGAAACTTCAAAATTTTCTTACTTACTGTCAGTACAATAGCAGTAGCACAGTGCATTGTTTGTTTGTGGCTGTCTCAGTTTGTTATAACAGTACATTGTTTGAATAGAATCAGTTACTCAATATAAACTAAAAACATACACTGTGCACTATGTAATGTGTCTAGGGGAGGGTCTGCCCCTTCTTGTCTTCATGAAGATGTTAATGCTCTGCCTAAAATGTTCCACAGTATAGCATTAAACTAGACAAAAATAGGTTAGATCTGTGGAGAGGCAAGCTCATCCAAAGTCAGAATGCAATGTATGTTTTAATAAAAACACCTGAAACTGAATAAATACAAGGTTAATGCCATATATTTGGACCATGTCACTAGAGTCTGTACCAACACTTACAGAAACAATCTCATCTCATTGTACAATCAATACAAGATGGATCAATAACTGGTGTAGAGCAATGGCTGTACGCACTCAACAGTTTATGTTTATATTAACTCATTATGGGCAATTTATCACACAGACACAGAGAGATGCCATGGTAACTAACCAGTGCTACTGTGCATCCCTGCCACCCAGCAACCAAATTGTGTCTCCAAACATGTTGAGCATGTGCCCTTACCGTGCACTGTGACATGCAGGAGCTGTGTGTGACTGGAGTCCATGCTGGTGACATTACAGCTGTATGTTCCAGTGTCAGACATATTCACACTGGGGATGGTCAGGATGCTGGCAGCTTCTGTGGCGTGAGATAAGATTTCTCTGTACGGATGGATGAACGGCACACTGGTTGACTGGAGAGGGGAAGAAGTTATTATCATGTTTTTTATACAATGTATAAAAAAAGAATAAAATAAATAAATTTTATATATATATATATTAGTGCTGTCATGCGATAAAAAAAATTGAGAGATTAATTAATTATTATCTGTAATTAATTAATCTGATTAATCTCATTTTAATCTCACCTAAAAATTGCAGAGAAAAGCCTTCAATTTGAGGTATTTTCATTTAAATTCATTATTACATTATTGTGGCAGATCAAAAGACTGATATAGATTTAAAAAAGTGACTTTATAAAGTCATTTATTGTTTAACAAATCTCTCCAAATTGGCTGTTGAGCCCAAGTCTCCATGAATAAGAAACTGTTTGCTGTAAAGTAGCAAAGACGAGGAAATCTGAACATAATAACTTTTGTCTACTTAAAGACAATAAAAAGATCTTTCCTTAACCATATTAAAAATATTATTGATAGAGAAATGCTTTATATATGATATCACTGGTTTTAGTCCTGGTTTAGACCTGCTTTAGTCCTATTTTAGTCCTAGTTTAGTCCTGGAATGGATTAATCCTGGTTTTAGTCCTGGTGTTAGTTCTGGTTTAGTCCTGGTTTAGTTCTGGTTTAGTCCTGGTTTAGACCTGGTTTTAGTTCTGGTTTTAGTTCTGGTTTAGTCCTGGTTTAGTCCTGGTTTAGTTCTGGTTTAGACCTGGTTTTAGTCCTGGTGTTAGTTCTGGTTTAGTCCTGGTTTAGACCTGGTTTTAGTTCTGGTTTTAGTTCTGGTTTAGTCCTGGTTTAGTCCTGGTTTAGACCTGGTTTTAGTTCTGGTTTTAGTTCTGGTTTAGTCCTGGTTTAGTCCAGGTTTAGACCTGGTTTTAGTTCTGGTTTTAGTTCTGGTTTAGTCCTGGTTTAGTCCTGGTTTAGACCTGGTTTTAGTTCTGGTTTTAGTTCTGGTTTTAGTCCTGGTTTAGTTCTGGTTTAGACCTGGTTTTAGTTCTGGTTTAGTTCTGGTTTAGTCCTGGTTTAGACCTGGTTTTAGTTCTGGTTTAGTCCTGGTTTAGACCTGGTTTTAATTCTGGTTTTAGTTCTGGTTTTAGTTCTGGTTTATTCCTGGTTTAGTCCTGGTTTAGACCTGGTTTTAGTTCTGGTTTTAGTTCTGGATTTAGTTCTGGTTTAGTCCTGGTTTAGACCTGGTTTAGTCCTGATTTAGTCCTGGTTTAGTCCTGGTTTAGACCTGGTTTAGTCCTGGTTTAGTCCTGGTTTAGACCTGGTTTTAGTTCTGGTTTAGTCCTGGTTTAGTCCTGGTTTAGACCTGGTTTTAGTTCTGGTTTTAGTTCTGGTTTAGTCCTGGTTTAGTCCAGGTTTAGACCTGGTTTTAGTTCTGGTTTTAGTTCTGGTTTAGTTCTGGTTTAGTCCTGGTTTAGACCTGGTTTAGTCCTGATTTAGTCCTGGTTTAGTCCTGGTTTAGACCTGGTTTAGTCCTGGTTTAGACCTGGTTTAGTCCTGGTTTTAGTTCTGGTTTAGTCCTGGTTTAGTCCAGGTTTAGACCTGGTTTTAGTTCTGGTTTTAGTCCTGGTTTAGTCCTGGTTTAGACCTGGTTTAGTCCTGGTTTTAGTCTTGGTGTTAGTTCTGGATTAGAGGCGCACAGGAGGAAGCGCGGTTTACGCAGCGTACGCGAGAAAACACAGTCCACACGCGGCTCACGGGAGGACAGTGGTGTCCGCACAGTGTCTACGGAAGGAAACGTGGTCCGCGCGTTCTCAGGTTAATGACGATGATGAAGGTGTGTGTTTGTTTGTGTGTGTGTGTGTTTGTTTGTGTGTGTGTGTGTGTTTGTGTGTGTTTGTGTGCGTGTCCCCTCATGTGGCAGGTCACTATAGGACAGTAGTGCAGACATCATGAGCCTATGCAGGTTGTTTTCAGGCGATATTATATTTGTTATTTTCTTTTATATCTCACATCGGGAGAATAATTTCCAAGACACGAATGTGTTTTTACCTGTGCACTGCTGCCTCTGTTCTACTGGCTCTTCGACCTCGTCCATTGTGCGACTGACGCCGCCAACGTTAACATGACGTTTACATCGCTCTTACTGCGCGCGTTTTGTGTGGGTTTCCGGCAATGAGTGGAATTACCGAAAAAAAAAATGTATAAATGTGTTTTTTTGTGTGTGTTGTTGTCCCAACAACACATAAAAACAGATTTTATAATAAAGCAACTCGCATACAGAAACAGTAAAGTTAGAGATTAAAAATGAGATTAACGCGATTAAAAAACATAACGCGCTAAAATATGACTGTAATAAATTAATCGCAATTAACGCAATAATTTGACACCCCTAATGTATATATATATATATATATATATATATATATATATATATATATATATATATATATATATATATGTGCACATTTTTAACATCATTTATTTGCAAAGTAAAGTCATCCTCTAGGAGATAATTAGTCATAAATTAAGACTGCTCAATAATGGAATTATGGAAATCATAATCACAGTTTTGTGAATCGTAATTGTAATCATGTAATTTTCCCCTGTAATATTTTATAATGTCATATTAGTCATGTCTGATTCATGTTTAAAGCTGCTAAATTAGATGAGTGCCTTAGTTAAAGCTGTTGGGTAAAGAACGAGAGTTCTTATCATTCATAGCAGAATTGTGTTAATTGTATTACCAAGTCAAAGAAGGTCTGAAAAGTAAAATAATTTCAACTAGTCAAAACTACTTAACCTAAAACTAATATTTTTTTAAATATTTATAATTATTTCCAAATAATTGCATGATGAATACTGTTAGCTGTCAGTGGGACTACCTCTGCCCCAGGGTATGTCCACTTGATGTCGACCCCAGTGTTGAACTCGACCAGGGCAGTACAGTTTAAGGTAAGTGTCTCCCCCACCATCAGCTCCACGGGGTCCTCAGGAAACAGCTTGACGTCGTAAACATGACTTCCTGTCCCGGGTGAAAAGGGAGAGGACAAAATGAGAGTTAAGGGGACAGTAGAAAAGGTCACAATGACATGGTCAGAACTTTTTCCTTCCGCCCAACACTACAGGAAATATGGACCTGGGAAACCACTATGAGCCGACCATCGCTCCATTTCCTCTTCCGTGTGGCTGTACATCAGAGGAGGAAATTAAAGGGGGGGGACGTGGTGAAGGGGTGATTTCAGATAACAGTTTAAAAGCATTGAATAGTGGCTGCCATGTGTCTCTTTTCTTGAAAAACATGTTCCTCCGCAGTGTCTTGGTGGCAAGCTGTGATTGTCTGATAGTTTAAATGGTCCATTAGCTTCTTACTCTCTCCCCTTTCTTCTCTGAGTGATGCGGCTGTTACTTTTGGCCTGGCAGCACTGAGTATAAGTTTCGCTCCAAAGTGAGAAGTAAACGATCTCACACACAAGCGACAAAAGAGCACGCACAAAGTCCTTTAAAGTTCAATAGCAATTTGACTGCGCCTTAAGGCACCAGTTCAACCATTTATATAGCTCCTAATTATGCCCTGATACCCCTGTCTGCTGTTTTTGTCTATTCTTTTAACTTTATTGCTTTAATAACTCAGACAATAGTATTAAAAGAGAGTTGTATTTATGAGGAAATTACTTAATGGAAGCAGTCCTTTAACCTGTCACTGATGGCTGTAATTACTTCATTAACTTCTATGTAAAAAGTGTCTCTTTATCTGCTAATTAGATATAGCTGACATTTACTTTCCTTGTGCATTCTGAAAAACACAACCTGCTGGTCTCCATGTGGATGTTCCTGCTACACCAGGAACATCCACATGGAGCCAAGCAGGTGGATGTTCCTGCTAAACCAGAAATGTTTCACAATATGGCTACTTCTACATACAGCATTTCCCCTCGGTTTACACTAAAGATATGGTGGCATAAGCGATCCATATTTGAATCGTTTTGTTTAATATAATATTTTGGTGTGTAAATGTCTCTGCTGTAGAAAAAAGCACAGATTACAGATAAAAATGTTTACTTTTATATATTTTTTAAACACTGTAAGCATAATTAGTTTAACAATTTTTTTGCTCAGCTAGTTTTTAGACTATGGGAGCCAAAATAGTCTCCTTTATAAATAAGAATAAAGACATAAAAACAAATTATTCTTGTTTGTATGACATAGCTCTATCTGTTCATTGAATTTTTGTCACATACTGATGATTGCGCCATGTATGGTATGGTGTAATGGTGGGTCACAGATCAAGAGCACTGCAAGGATAGAAAGGACAGACTTTGTGACAAATGCCCTTGTCACCTCTGGGAATTCTTTAAAGTCAATGTGCATGACTTGAACACACCTGGAGCCTGCAGAGAAATCCCACTGTGCTAGCCTCTGTGGCCCACCCAAAAAACATGTCATTTTCTCATAAAGTTACTGAAGTGTTGTCCAGGCTGCTGTTCACTGCATGGTTTAATTACAGTGCTCTGTGAAATATATGTCTGGATGACACGAAATGCACTGTTCATGCTGAGTGTGGATGAGTGTGACTTTTCATGGCATTTCTTTTTCTTACAGTTCATGTTCACTGAAGTTTGCTTAGCCTTTATGTAAAGACTGAGAAGAAAAAGTGGTGTGTGGGCACTGTGACCCTGAGAAACCTGTATTTGGCTTCAAAGAAATTTTATGTTGTTTTGTCCTTGCTGGTTGAGTAGATTTTTCAAGGTGCACAATAAAGTAAACAAACTGGACAAAATGACTCCATCTAGCTGGCCACAAAAGTCTCTTATAAAAAATAACTATTCAATAATTTGGCTTAAAATAGCTTATAAGCATTTACGCAAAGGTTAGGTTAAGTTGCTTTATTGGTACCTGTAGGTAAATTAGTTTTGCAGTTTGGGAGGCTGGTCCAACATTTCACATTTCACTCATTCACACTACAGACTACAGACACATGTATAACACATTACAATAACAGTGCTCCTGTGCAGAATGGTTTAGTTCCAGCAATAATCAATCACGCTTGGTGAAAAGTCACAATAAATGTTTACTCACCAACAGTATGAATGAGGTAGTTGACTGATTGGTAGTCTTTACCATTCAGTGTGGCCACACACATGACTCCGATCACCAAGGGGTTGTCTACCACATGTCTGGGAACAGTCCATCCCAGTTTGTTGTTCCACTTCATGTCAGCTTTCTCCAGAGGGGTGGGATACTACAGAGACAAAAAGCAATAATAGCTCTGTCAATCTTCTGATGAGCTCAGCTCAAAAAGAGCCATGTGACCAAAGAGTTAGGGACACAAACCGCATGCAGAGTCACATTGAGATCGGGGACGGTCACTAGACATGGCACAGTGACATGAGTGGAGAGGCGGGTGATTAATAAGGTCTCCAGATCCGAGTTTTGACCGGTTCTCAGCAGGAAGGGTTGCTCTGGGTCTGAACACAGAATATAGAGTTAGAAACCAGCTCGTGGACCATGTGTGCTGCCAGTGGAGGCTTGAACCAAACCAATTCTCTGAACTCAGCCCCAGATATCTCCTGTAATGAGCCTCAGATCATAACCATTTCAGTACATGATGGTGATAATCACAACACGTAAAAACAGCTCTCAGCAGATCGTTTTCAAATGCTGTTGGACATCTGCCCCATAAGTAGACAGACCTGGTTTAATCCTTTCTGTGGCATTTGGTTCTAGCTATCTGCAGCTGAAAACATAGCAGTGTTTTATCCTCTGCACAATCACCTGCCGCTCTCAGCTGGGCTATGGGAAGCATCGCAGCTAATGTGCCTTCTATTCACATTGCAGCTGTTATCTTGTGAACACGATATTCCCACAGACCATTACAAAACTGCTTATCTTCAGCCTCCCAGTCAATATAACTGACTTTTGTAAGGCAGCCAATGATGAATGTTCACATACAAGCAGCTCGCTTCTCTTCTTATTTATTATTCCCCCATTGATAAGCCCCCTGGTATTTTCCTTATAGCACCACTCTCCCAGCTATCACTTCAAACTGCTATAAACCAAACAATAGCATCCATAGAGAGAGCAAATATGTCTAGCTGGAGGTGGTCTGAATACACACAGGTGACAGGAAAAATACACAATCTTCTTCAATTTGAGTTCCTCACAATAAATCACTAAAGCTGAAATATTAGAATTTGCAGTGGATTGGAGCTATCAGGCCTGAGGCGCATCAGGGACACAAGATTGTCTGTGGGAGTTGTGCATGTTGTGTGCGTGTTGTGTTTAAGCGCTAAAGGGAAAATCCAAAGAGGTCCTGTCCAACTAAGTGCACGTGTCCCCCCAGTCGCACCACACAAAGGCTCTGATATACCCAGTGGGCTCCCTTCTGATTAGGCCCCCGCTGTGACGTGTGAAAACTATTTTGGCAGCATGTCAAAAACATAATCAGTCAGTCCATTTGAATAAACTGTTCAGCAGGATTCACCCTAATGACAACCACAGCCCTCATTGCTCTGATAAGCTTCCAGTGCAGACATGGTGATTCTTCTAACCGTAACCCTAAAGAAAAGTTGGATTATATTTTAATATCCAAACGTGTTGCTGTGGAAAAGCTTTAAAAACAAATTGACAAAATGAGCAGAGTAGGATTAACAAAACTTAGCTCAAATGTGAAGCATTAATCTTCGGAGGATGTCATGCAGCTGAGTGAACAGTTAACTTTGGAAATAATATCATAGCTGCCTTGATACTGAAGTAATAATCAGACAAAGCAGTTTTGATTTGGGGCTGTCTTATAAAGATTCCAATAAAGCTGAGAAAGAAATTAAAGTCTGGTTGCACAAAGACAGAAGATCAATAGCTTTGTAGTTTCACAAGTTGCATTTAGAAAATGGCTCTATCCTCCCCAGAGACATTTATACTGAAGACATAAACAAAGTTTGGTGCTTGGGATAGAGTCTCCTGTCAAACTGAGAAGAGACAGCTTTATGTAGATCTATGGACTTGGGAAAAGGGACTAATCAATGCTTTAAAGCTACCGGCACACCTTTGTTTCACAAGGGTTTTCGGTGGAAGCTTTGATTGCCTACAGACGAGAGATGTAATAAAAAGGGCAGAACAAATCTGTTCACTAATTTTGACATTAAAATTTTATTGCTAATGCTTCACCTCAGCTTCCATTTGTAAAATACAAGACCTAAAGGAAGGAAAGGGAGCAAGACAATTCATGATAAAGTAATGTTTAGGCTTCCTTCAGAATCAACTGTACTGTGAGTCTATTGAAGTATTTTTTTTAACAAATACAGTCAGTAAATCACAGTTTTTGCTTATATTAATGAGTAATGGGTAGTATATATGGTAACTGCGCCAGTGAGAGCTGACTCACCTCTGATGAAGACATACACACTGATAGCAGTGGTCCCTTCGATGATGGCTTTGACGTTGGTGTAGTAGCAGCGGTAGTACCCAGTGTCTTTGGCCTGGGCACCCCTCAGGACCAGTCTCTTGCAGTAGGGACGCCCCGGCTGACCTTCACACTCGCTGACCACCACCCCCCTCTGCCTGTGGGGGGCGCTGGAGGGCAGCTGTTGCCCCTGCCGCACATTCAACTCCTGTGCCACCAGTGTCTGATCAGGCCATGCCCACGCTAGGGTAAGCTGTCCTCTGCATGTGGTTGAAAATGTAAAAATATACACTTAAAGACAGACAGCAACGGGAGATGAGGGGTAATATAAATCTCAATGTAAGAGTAAGTAAGAGTTCAATACAGAGGAGAAACCAGCTATGGAGAAAGGGCCTTAAAGGTTCCAAATATGGCAACGAGATAATCAGGTGACAGACTTTGCAGCAGAAACACATAGTACACCTTTAAGTAACATTATGGTAACTTTACAAGAGAGGTGAAATCTGATTTACAAACCACATGTTAGAATCCCTTGTAAATTGACTTGTACACTTTTGACAGACTCTTTTCAAAGCATTTTCAAAACCATCTCATTGAGAATATTTTTGTAACACATTGGAAATGGATAGAGCTTTTCGTTAGCTTTTGCTTGACATTTACAATTCAATTTAATAAAAAAAAATGTCTTGTGCCCTTTTGACTGTGAACCCTCAGACTGATGTAACAGTGCTTATAGACATTTTTATGATGTGAAAGCTTATGGCAAAAGTCCCTGTGTAGAGGTGGTATTATGGGCTGCAGGGGACAGACGCTGCCCATTACCCATCATATAAACTCAGTTACAGGTTGCCATGTGAACCCCACAGCAGTTTCAGCAAAATCATAATGTCTGACTGTCTGAAATCTGAGAGCTGCATTTTCACCACCTGCCCCCTGTTTAAATGTCCACATTACAGACACGCCAAATAGTGATGACAGAAAATTACGTGTGAGATTAGTGACTCTCTTAGCAAAAATATAAAACAGAAGAGGCCGTACGGGTCCAAAACAATCAGGATCCATCCAAAGACAGCAGACTTAAGTACCACAAAGAAAACAGTGAAGTGAGTGACGGCTTGGCAGTGCTGAGCAAAGATTTCACAAGAATAAAAGATGGTTGTTTTAATAAAAGGCTAAGACTAAGACAATGATGGCTTTGTTTTCAACTTTTAATTTTTAAGGAGGAGATATCTTGGGTTTTTTTTGTTGTTGTTTTTTTTGCAAGAATAGAAATTTAAGCTTTCCAACAATGTTATGCATGCCAAGAAACTTTTTGTCAGTTGTGAGATGAATGAAAAACAGAGACATGAATGATAAAAGGAAAATGTTGCTGTCGGATGGACGATGGAATTTTAGAGGATAAATTAAAGGGCCCATATTACGCTATTTTCTGATCTGTGTTATAAGGAGGTTGTTTCCTCATCACAAACATATCTGGAGTTATGTTTTTTTTTCATTCACACATGTTTAACACACAAGTCCTGCATATTTAGGCTGTGTTCTTCTCAGAAAACAGAAAACAGTCAGGAAGTGCTCCACTGTGTTTTCTACTAAATTAGGTAAAAGGTAGCTGTTAACTTGAAAACTACTTCATGACAAGGTTTAACAGAGCATTTTGAGCTTTGGAGATGTAGACAGACTAATAAGCTAAGATTACTCAAACGTGTGTGAATGAAATAAAACACAACTCCAGGTATGTTTCTGAGGAGATAACAACCTTCTAATGGCTCAAAGCTCACAAGAGTCAGGCTTGTGTAATATAGAACCTTTAAGCTTCTGGATGTGTTCTTAATATCGGCAGTGAACGGTAGCCTAATTACACTTTTTCCCCAAATCCTTTAACCCTAATTTACAAATGAGTTTCTATAAACAGCTTAAAACAACACATTTCAATAGCTCTTAAACCAATTATCAAGTATCTCTCAAGCATCTGTCAAGTGCACCATCACACTTGATTGAACCAATCTGCATTAAAAACAGGGCTTACATACCTGCATGTTATTCTGAGCGTTTCATAAACTGGAATCACAAGGTCGTCTTTGGGGATGTCAAGGGAGGGTGGAGCTATAGAAAATCCAATCACCAAACCTAAAAAAAAAAACCCCCCCCAAAAAAACACAGAATAAAACAACATTTTTTAAAGATGTCACTAATCATGACACATTTACAACTGTAAACACACATTGACTGTAGTGCTGTGAAAACACTGACAAGAGTAATCATAGCTATTTAAAGGTGCACTGTGTAACTTGTCTGCAGCAGAGTATGTCACCTGCTTGCCTCCGTGGAGATGTGGCTAGAATGTTCCACAGTATGACCACCATACACTTGAGAATCTCCATGGAGACTTACAAGCCAAATTACAGGTTAGATTTATGGAGAGGTGACCCCACTCACAGAAAGAGTGGATGTTTTTTAAGATAATTTTGAGCAATAAATAACACTTGTAGTTGAAGAAATGCAAGACAGATTAGCTTAATACCATACTGTGGACAATTTAAACCAAAGTATTTATAACTCCATGTGGACCCTATCCAAAAAAGTTACAGTGCATGTTTAACCCTGTACTCAAATATAAAACTATTTGTGAAGATGCAGCCATTTACCATCAAAGGCTGGGTTAATATGTCCAGTGTGTGTCAGATATTATTACTAATCCACTCCTCCCTCCGGATGTTATTAGCAATTATAAGTCACACACCCACATCTATGATTTATAGTCTCAGCATGACTTACGCCCCACCTGACGTCACTGTGGATCAGAAAAGTGTGACAAGAGAAAAAGGCTGGAACAAGATGTATTTCTGTCATGATAATTACTACATTAACTTATCTTTCTATACAAGTAATAGATGGAACTAAATTTTTTTAGGTCAGTATTTATCGAAGGGACTTTTGCTTTGTACTAAAGGGGAACTTTTTGTAAATCTTATATAGCTGTTTGTATTTGTATTACTATATTTTTTATTTTTACATGTACATATACATTTACATAATTGCGCACCACTCTCTTGTTATTTTGTCTAAATCTAAGTCTAAATCGTACTACTTACGTTTTTCTGAAGAAGACTGAATAAATAACTTCTATGCTCATTATAGATACAAACTATTTAAGTGTTTCATTCTGCTTCTTATTTATTGCAGCTAATTTGAACAATATTATACTTTTATAATTTTCTTTTTGAGATAATCTTTAGGGTTATTGTATCAGTGGTACTATTTATTTTCAGTGTTATTGTTTATCATCTATATTTTCTTCAGCAGCAACATACCACATGTCAAAATTTGTTATGGTGACAAGAATATCAAGATACTACGAGATAATTCTTAAATTCAAAGGGAAACTAACTAAGTGTTGAAACTATCTTTCAGTGGCCTTATAGCTCACAAATGTCCTTATCCAGACTTCAAAGTTCCTGTTGATGTAGTATGTAAGTATGTGTTGTCTTTTTAATGTTCTATGGATGTGTAATTGTCTGAAATAAACACTAATGACATGATGCCATAAATTATGAATTACTGCTGTTATTCTTATGTTTCATTGTTGGGGGAAAAAATGAATTTCCTTTGGGATCAATAAAGTATTTATCTATCTATCTATGAAGAAGAAGAATAAAACAATAAAACAAGATCTTCAGTTTGTTCCTCTCATTATTCATGCCCTTTCACACAATGATGCCAAATTTGAAAGAAAAAAAAATTTGCTGTAAAATTGTTTTTTAGATAATAGATTTCCTTTTAAAACTGTCACCAAGACCCAGCATAACCCATAAATAATAGTGACAAACAAGTTAATGTGTTTGTCATGAAACATTGAGAAGCATCCGCATCATTAGGCTCTTACAGACAACAGGGAATCGCTTTTCTCTCTCCAGACTCAGAGCAGTGTAAATTTGTTTTGGCAGTCTAGCCTAAACACCTACAGCTTTGGATGGCTGTGACTGCTGTCTGCACAAAGCAAGGTGAGGGTGTTGTAAATATTATAATCATGTTTAGAGGGAAAGTCAGGTTACACAGCGCTTGAGATCCTTGAGAGTTCCACAAACAGTTTTTAACAATAAACAAAGAAAGAACACGCTGACATTTTCTTGTAACAAATAAGCACAGATTTTTAGAAAAAAATTTCAAATTAAAAAGACGTTTTCAACTTTCAAATCCAAGGTTACTGTCAAAACTAGTCAAGGCTTGAAAATACATACATTTTTGCTAGATTGAATAAGAACTTCGAGGAAACTATCTGTCCAGTTTGCGTCCCTCTGTTACACAATGCTGCTCTAATCACACTGACATAAAACAAGCAGCATGTATAAAGGAAAAGCTCCATGAATGACCCCCAGCAAGGCAATTCCTTCCTTACTTTTCTACACTCCTTAACATTGTCCCAAAGGAGAGGTCCAGTATTTTCAACATATTGTGTGAGTCCAGATGTGAACCTGCCCACAGCTCCTATCCCATCCGCACTGTCCACCACTCTCACGGCAGCAGCTAGAGTAAATATGTGGGCAGCGCCATGGAAACACAAAAACAAAGCCAAACTCAAGATGAACTAGGGAGAAAAATGATAACTAAGCACCAAAACATGGCCCAGCTGAACTCTACTTTTTCATCACCTTTAGACCATATGAAGGTGTATACACTTTCTTACTTTGACATTAATATTTAAGCACTGCCAGGTATGAAAGAAATCACACACTCCATTTTTCTTTTCTTCAGGCATTCAGGTCAAGATCGTGCATTCAGTAGGTGCACTCTGCAGACACTGTGGCCTCCATGTACGGCAGTAATAATGCAGTCCAGCCTGAACTGATAAAATTTCAAAGCTTTTATTAGCATGGACTTGGAACATAACAATGGCAGTAGACAGATAATTTTTATGTTTACTTTATCATTTCTATCAATTGCTTCTCCTTGATGAATCCTTATAATGAATTCTATTGACATGTATGTACAGCAGGTCCTTGAAGACTGCGTATGTTTATTTAAATATGCACTGTGCAACGTATTTGGTGGAGAGTCTGCAATCTGTTTGTTTTCATAGAGATGTTGTTGCTTTGTCTGGAATGTTCCACAGTATGGCATTAAAAATATCTATCTTGCATTTAATCACTTTACTTTTTAATTGTTGGCCTGTTGGTATCACCTGCTTGTAGCGCGTAGCAGACCTCCCACCAAAAAAGTTACATAGTGCACCTTTAGAGTAGTAATTGATCATCTTGTTTGAATTTTGGTAACATATGACAAGTATGTAACTAACTGAAACAGACAGATATATCGGTTGGCCAATACATAGGACCAATATTTGCTTCGTTTTGACCGTCTAATCTCCAAGAGAGGAAGATATTCTGTTTGGGCCAATGAGCTGCTTAAAGACTATGCATAAAGCTTATAAAGAACACTGCACAAAATGTGACTACACTGCTCTTTTATCCAGTTTGTATTAATACCAGGTAGTGGTTGAGTGTGTAATAAATTTAAATTATATAATTTGGAAAAAAAAATACACAAATAAAAAATCAATCAAATCAATCAAAAATATTGGCAGACCTTATCAGCCATTGGTTGCTCTGATTTCTAAATAATAATCATAAGCATATCGGTCAATCTCTAATAACTACGACTTTTAACAGGGTTAATTGCAGCTATACCGCAGTCCTGACAACTGCATTTTACTATAGCGTTCACTCTTATATTCATTAAGAACAATTAAGATTCTTTCATTGTCTACAGTTGGTGGTGGAGCCTGGAGATCTCTTTTGCATAAACAATTCTTGTCATGCATTTCTAAGTCAGCCAGTTTTGGAAAATGGGCCAAAACGTGTCAAGCAGACGAATGTTGTGTAATACGCTTCCCCCTGTCTCAAGGATGTCCGCTGTGAGTGATGAGCTCTGAGGTTAAATAGTTGATGGACGCCTCTTGCACAATCGCTTCAGTAATCGCGCATTGATGGACAGCAAGCAAATTGTGAAGCCATGTGAAATGTCAGGACAGATCGAGATGAGGGAGTGGGCTCGGAGTGCACCTGTAGGAAGAAGAAGGTGGAGATTTGGCTGATGTAAGATTGACTGATTCGTCTGTCAAGGTGCAGCTGATGTGTGGCGCACCAGAGAGCAAAAGAACATCTCCAAGATTATTCACACTGATTTGCTTTGAGACAGGTCTGCGTGCATGTGTTGGTTTTTCTCATTATAAGCTGGGTTTAGGACCGAAGTGCGCAGTATCACTCATGTTTCTTCATGTCACTCTCTGTAGATTCAGTCAGATTTCATGTTCGATTTGTAACATGGCTCTGAACAACTGAGGACATACAATAATAATGTTTTTTAGTGACCCAGTCTGAATGTCAAGCCACTCCTGCCATGGGACAGACAAAACATGGCAGCAAATGAGCATCAGCATATTCCAAAGACAGGTTGAAGAGGTGAAGAGTCTTCCCCAAGGACATCGTTGAAGTTGGGATTGTGCCATCAAGTAGGCATGCACCGATTTGATACTGATATCAGATATAGGCAGTAATACTGGGAGAATTGCTGGCTCTGATATTGGCTTCCAAATGTCGATTCAGCCAATATTCTAGATGGGCATATAAATTGATGTAACTACTGTCCATACTTGGCTCAGAAAGTATCAGAATATTTGAACTTTTATTTATATAAGGCCATTCTGTAATTACCTCAGAGATAAACAACAGCTGCATAGCACATTTAGATCTCTTTTGTTTACAGTTTAAAGGAAATATAGGAGGTTTTTAGTCTGCTCTGGTATTAGTTCACATCAGTAAATACTTCAAGCCATAGTATTCAAATCGGAATTGGAACTGAAAAAGCTGGATCAGTGCATCCCTACTACAACCTTGTCATTCATAAAGCTAACTGTTTTATTACCTGAGCCACTGACATAAATAATAGATTAGTTGAGAAACCTGCAATAGTTTCTCACAAAGCCTAAGATAGTTCATGTCATGACACCTCTATTGAATCACAAACAATGGTAAAAAAAAAAAAAGGTTATCTTATATGCTATAGGTATATAAATGACCTAATCTAATCACCATCGCAATACTTCTCAGAAAAAAATGCAGTAAGGTGTTTTTCCCAAATTGCTCAGCTCTATTAACTGATCATAGTTCTTTTAATGGTCTTAAACAGTAACTAGGACCCATTCCAAAATGAATCATCCTGACCCATTAGCGACCTTTCAGGCTGTAATAATTAAGGCACTTTTATTTGACATTCATTTTTCACACCTGCCTAAACTTTTGGCCGGCCCTCACATGGCTAAGGGCCAAAACACCCACCAACCCCACTACAGCAGATTGATGAGGTTTGCAGGGGGGGGCTTGCCGCACCACACTGTACTGGGGGCGAATGTGGTGAAAAAGTGCTTGTCAATATATGGCCCATATGGAGGAAATATATAAAGTCAAAGTCCTAACTGTGAGACAGCAGACAGAAGAGCTAGTCTAAATATGCTGAGAATATGTATCATCCCATTAATAGA